AACGGATCGTAGTGAACACGGTAACCACATTGGTGGCAAAGTAGGTTTTCTCCACTAGGGATTTCACCACACGGGCCGTGTCCTTCGATTCTTTCCCTTTCCAGGGCAAGCAAAGAAATGTCACCGCACTTACCGCACTTACGCTATTCCAGTAAATTCGCACTCACACACACTCACACACACTTACACATGCATGTCCATTGTCACACTGCATTTGCTGAATTTCCTATCATTTCTCACCTCACCTATAGTTTATTACCTGTGCAAATTGTTCCTAGGTTTGTGCTATTTTTCTTACTATGCTTGTATCCTCGCTGTTCCACTGCAAGTGTATAAATCCTATTGTAGTTTCATCATTCTCTTTAGTCACGAATTCCATTGATAATTGTGACAAGAAAACGTTCTGGAATACATGATTCGTCCCCATGGTTGTGATATGAGTGCGCATTTAGTTATATTCATTACATGTTTTGGAGTTTCCAATTTCTCTTGTGTAAAACAATTATTATTAAAATGAAAACATTCCAGAACATTCTTGACAAGCAATGCACACGCTTACACAGCTAGTGTAAATGACTCTATTTGTAACCGCAAGCTGCCATTTGTTATTCTTATTCTGGTTGTTTGAGTGATTCTTACCATGTGACCATGTTCCACTAATGATAGTCACGAGAAAACGTTCTGGCATTTTTTTCATTTAAAAAATTGTTTTATAACAAGTTAATAAAGAAAAATGGACCAAGAAACTACAAGTTTTGCTATAATGTCCATCAACACCATCAGTTTCTAAAAAAATCAGCTCATGCGATAACATTACATGACACTGACCGACGGTACTGACGTTCTACAACTAACTGGCTAACAGCTCTAGCACATCTTGGATGGGCACTCCAACAGCCTTCCAACTTGGAAGGTTCTAAGTTATACTTCGAAGTAGAAATAACATGAGATGGGGAAGGTGAGCGCAACCAAGACAAGCATGAGCTGAAAGTCTCAACTGTGAAGGGCGTTGGCGGATGTTCATGCATGTCGATGACGATACTGGCAAGACCTCTGGACAATACGGTCAAACCATGATTCAAGGATGCAAAGCAACATTCCACACAACCTGTGTGGCTCAAAGATGCGAAGGTAACTGGTAACAGGTAGTATTAGTGGACATTATAGCATAGCTTGTAGTTTCTTGGTCTTTTTTTCTTTACTATAAATTTATCCTCGGTTCTCCATCCGAGTCAATACTTGTTTTATACAGACATGATTATCAGTGCACACTTAGTTTTTTCATTGCTATTACTGCATATAAACGTGTATTTTTAGGTGTGCTAAACGTTCGGTGCCAGGGACCTGCCAGGTTTCAGGTGTAACGTAGAATTAGGTGACCAGTCTACCCTTCACAGACAGTGTGTACTGTAGTGACTTTTAGGTGTAATCTAAATTTACGTGCCTGGTTTCTCTAACGAAATTACCGAAATTAAAGTTCATACACCAAAATAAACATGTTATACAGTAACTGATAAACAGTTAAGAGTAGAGCCCACACGCTCTCTTCCATGAACACTGCATTAGTTCAACTCATTTCACAATATTTCAACGTTTAGGCAAAATTGCCGTCATCAGGTTCACAATGATGAAGGCCAAGGTCTCAAACCAGCATTGATACAGGCCAACGCCCAGAAATGATAGCTGGCAGTCGGCCCGTTGAAGCTTGCACGACCATTGCAAATAACACCATGGCGCCGCACTCCTGGAAGAGTAAAAGTGGGGAGGCTTCCTGCAGTTTCATAAACAGTTAAGAGGACAGGGGTGCTGGCCTTTATCAATGCTTGTTTGAGAGCTTGCACATTACTGTGGACATGATGAAGGCATTTTGCCGAAACGCTGTAATATTGTGAAATGAGTTGAAGCATTGCCGGCGTCCATGGTTCGATTTCGAACCATGGGCATTTTGTATGCATGTGGGCGCAGTCAAACTTTCGGTTCTCGGCCAAATCTTGACCAAATTCAACAATGGAAGGGTCTAGGTGGTAGAGAAAGCCCAGCCTCAGGACAGGCGGCACGTGCCGGGACCGGCGCGGCGCAAAGTCACGGCAAGGTAAGCTTCTACGCGAAAACATTTGAACAGTAGAGAGGTTCTGCTATACGTGAAACGTAGAGAAAACACGTAGAGAGCAGGTGTCTGGGTTAGAGTCGACGGCTTCGCGTGTTTTGGCTCCAGATTTCTACGCGGAGACGAGGTTCTCTACGTTGTGGCACACGCAGAGAAAATGCGTACGGATTTGCTGGGTATCGATCAACTGCATGCAGAAAACTGCCAAATATGGAAGGGGAAATTCCCAGTACACATTCCATGTGACTTCTTTAGGTGAAATGTAGAGCAGAACAGCATTTCTTTACGCTACGGGAACGCGAAGAAAGTTCGCGTGATTCTTTTCGTCGCGTTCCCAAAACGTAGAGCAGAACCTCCCTAGTTCCGAGCTAGATTCAGTGAAATGGCTGCAGGAGACCGATTTCGTCTCAGATCTGGAACTGGACTCGCGTTTGGAGCGCGTTGTGGCGGACAATGAGTAGTGCTCTTGGCAAGTTTGGGCTCATTGTATTTCTCTCATCAAGAGCTTTCCAACGAGCCCAAGATCTTCAAAATCGGTGAAGTAGAACCAAAGTTATGTTGGATACTGAGTGCGCATTTTCGTGACTGCCACAAATTCTGCGGAAGCGAAAAAAGTCATGGACTCCAAAGGGTTAATGGAAGAGAGCATGTGAGCTCTACTCTTAACTGTTTATGAAACTGCAGGAGGCCTTCCCACTTTTAATTCACTGCTAGATCGGGTTTAACTGATCAAACGACTTCAATATTGTTGTAAGAAGCACCAGTGAAATGACAGCAGATAAGTAAGAAGGGTGAGGTGCGAAGGAAGTTATAAAAATTGAGAAAAGGAGGTGAGTGGCATCCCTTTGTGCTCAGCAACTTGTACATTTGCCTCTTTGCTGTGACTTGTGTTTCTCAGGAGCTCGTTTTCCGGCGAGTGCAGTATCCAGCCATGGGGTTCGCAAGCATGAAGGCTTTGACTACATTGATGAGAATGGTCACGTGACATGCAAGAAGGGCTACAGAAAACCCTTGCGCGAGATCATACCGGCGCGTCCATATAAGGGAGTGTGGCAGAACACTGCTGGTTGTTACAGTGAGTCAAATCCTACATGTATTTAATCTAAACTGTTCTAGGGTAGGTGAATACAAAGTCACAAACCAGTTCTCTTACCATCCTTCTGCCCAGGTCGTGAGTAGTAAAACAGTATTAATTTTATTGGACCTAGTGGTATTTTATAAACAGTATTTTATTGGGTCAAAAGCCAATAAATACTGTTTATAAAATACCACTAAGGCCAATAAATACTGTTTATAAAATACTCCTTTTTAGGGAAAAGTGGAGTGCTACATGGAAAAGTGCAGTGGTATTTATTGAGTCAAAGCAAATTTATTTGAGTTTGATACTGTTGATGGTGTGGTCACTAATGCGTGTGGGTATTTATCAAAGGTCAATATATTGTTCTATAAATTCTCCCCTTTGACCTCCTTTTTTTCCAATTATTGCCACTGGGAGCAACATATTATCCTCCATGTCTGTCGAGAGCTGCCCTATTGACCCTAAGCGACATACTGTAACCACACCCACAAATTCGTCTGTTCTGAAGTTTTACTCCCTGTAGAATGGTGATTCAAAGTCTTGCAAATTCCTGAAGCGTACTCCTTTTTGATGGACTTTGGAGGGTGTGGGGCCGGGGGGGGGGGAGGTGAATTCCTGAAGCCCAGGCGATTCTCTTTTATTTGGTTCCCAGTACGCATGCGTCATGCAACTATGAGTCCACTGGGAAGCCCCGTTTGAGCGCTGCCGTGCTTGCCACATGCGGGATGTTAACACAAATTCAAGCGTATCGTGTTTCGCTCTTCGGCACTCAGTCATTCCTCACTACGCCATATCAAACGACACACCGTTGTAATGCTCGTTCCAATGAGACCTCACTCTTGGAAATCGAAGAAAGGTCAATAGCGTCACGAAAATTTGTACAATGATCTATATGCGCTGCACAAACTTGAAATTTGAAAACGAGTAGACAAGCCCAGTCAGACCTCGCTTATCCGGTCCTCGTTTATCTGGATCCCTCGCCATCCGGAAGAAAATCGCTGGTTACCGATGTGCAGCATATGTTATGCATACAACATAACCGGACCTCGCGATCCGCATACCGGTGCATGATTTTGTGCACAAACCGGCCAAAATGTGTACAAAAAGCTTTGTCGTATCCGGTTGCATGTGGCTTGCAGAAGCTAGAGTCAGGGAGTTGTACGAGCAAATGAGGTTCTTGACCTGCTGGGTGCATGCGGACAGCACTCAGTTGCATGCACTTGTCATTTTTCTCGCTTGTTTTACATACTGTGCATGCTAAGTGTACTGCATAGGACCCGTCTGGTCCACACGTACTTCAGTACATGTATGTACGATGTCACTGCTTTTGACATGCCCCATGCATATACAGTATGTGTGTTCAGTTATCCGGTTCCCTCGCCTATCCGGATATGTTTTGTGGAAAACAGATGTGTGCGGTTAAGCGAGGTCTGATTGTGGCATGACTTTAGGAATCCAGCTATACAATCAACTTTGCGTATAACGACACTCGGCGGGGCATCAGAAAAGTATCCTTATCCGCGAAGTGTCCTTACACCCGAAGTCTCATTATATGTATTACAGTAAGATGAGACTTTGCTCTGGGCATGGAAAGTCTGTCGTTATTCACGAATTGCCGTTAATAATAATTCGACTGCAGATATCACCGTTATATCCGCAGTCGTTATTACCGAAGTTGACTATACCTTGAATACGGATGGATATACTCGTCCTTCGTTCTCAAATGTGTTCCTTCCCTTCTTTCTATCTTGCAGCTAATGCGTTGTTACAGCAATCACAATATATGGAATCCAGGACGGGTACATTCAAATGCCATTGGTGGGCGTTCGAAAGCTGTACCAGCCCTCCTTGTGCTGGCGGCCGAAACCACAACTGTATGGCAATGAGTGAGTTTCGACTTTTTTTATACGAAAGTCCACCCGAACAAGCCTTGATTGTCCTTGTTGTTCTGTTCTGTATACAAAAGTCCACTATATTCCTGAATATGTGAGAGAAGTGGTGGCAGGGCCAGGCTGCTCTGCCGACCTTAAAGGTCTCGGCGTCTACGCAGACAAAGCGTGCCATAATGCAGTACAACCCAGGGCCTGCTGGAGAGCCGGGTCACGCGCCCGGCTGGGGAACTGCACGACCTGGCTGAACAGATAACACCGGGTCCAGTCTGACCCGGCTGAAAAATGTCTCAAACTGACAATGGATTCCTAAAATACCTGTATTTTACGACTCGCGGACCCCATCTGTTGCAAATCTAGCGCAACCGTACTACACACTATACAGTCTACAAGCGACAGAAACTCGGCTTGGGTCAACTGGGGTCAACTGGTTCGAGCGCGAGCTGGCCAGCGGCGAGCAGGAAGTCAGGACATTGAAAGTCGATGGGACAGGCATAAGCAGTCAAAAGCGTAACTAACGTTACTTTGGCATAGCTTTTGACACAGTTGCAAGTTTTGAGCAGGCTTTTTGGTTGTTTTTCTGCCGGATGATGTGACCCGGCTGGCCTGCATGCGCCAGGTACACTCTGACCGGGCTGTGTTGAATGTCTAGAGCAGGCCCTGCAACCATGAGGAGGGGAGGAGGTGGGGAAATGAAAACTACTGCAGTAGTTTAAAGACACTGTACAGCTGTAGACACTGTACAGTGTAGACACTAGACACTGTACAGCTGTAGACACTGTACAGCTGTAGACACTGTACAGCTGTAGACACTGTACAGCTGTAGACACTGTACAGCTGTAGACACTGTACAGCTGTAGACACTGTACAGCTGTAGACACTGTACAGCTGTAGACACTGTACAGCTGTAGACACTGTACAGCTGTAGACACTGTACAGCTGTAGACACTGTACAGCTGTAGACACTGTACAGCTGTAGACACTGTACAGCTGTAGACACTGTTCAGCTGTAGACACTGTACAGCTGTAGACAATGTACAGCTGTAGACACTGTACAGCTGTAGACACTGTACAGCTGTAGACACTGTACAGCTGTAGACACTGTACAGCTGTAGACACTGTACAGCTGTAGACACTGTACAGCTGTAGACACTGTGCAGCTGTAGACACTGTACAGCTGTAGACACTGTACAGCTGTAGACACTGTACAGCTGTAGACACTGTACAGCTGTAGACACTGTACAGCTGTAGACACTGTACAGCTGTAGACACTGTACAGCTGTAGACACTGTACAGCTGTAGACACTGTACAGCTGGAGACACTGTACAGCTGTAGACACTGTACAGCTGTAGACACTGTACAGCTGTAGACACTGTACAGCTGTAGACACTGTACAGCTGTAGACACTGTACAGCTGTAGACACTGTACAGCTGTAGACACTGTACAGCTGTAGACACTGTTCAGCTGTAGACACTGTACAGCTGTAGACACTGTACAGCTGTAGACACTGTACAGCTGTAGACACTGTACAGCTGTAGACACTGTACAGCTGTAGACACTGTACAGCTGTAGACACTGTACAGCTGTAGACACTGTACAGCTGTAGACACTGTACAGCTGTAGACACTGTACAGCTGTAGACACTGTACAGCTGTAGACACTGTACAGCTGTAGACACTGTACAGCTGTAGACACTGTACAGCTGTAGACACTGTACAGCTGCAGACACTTTAGTATTTTTTTTGCTTTGTTTCATTTCGCAAAATTCAAACTGGAATTTCGTCCCAATAACAAGGTAGCGAAGAGGGATGAAAAAGAGAGAAAAAAGTGTGTATGCACTGGAAATGATAGTCGGCTGGAGATGAATAAACCGGATCCAGTGTCAAGCATGGCAATTAGCTACTGTTGCAGGTATTGAGCAAGGATTAGAGCAGGCACAGTCAATGACTGATTGTGAAAGGTAGGGCTGCAGCTTTGAATGTCTCCAGCGTTGCACAGCAGTGGACATCTCCAGGTAATCTGTTCCATTTACCTGTAGCGCTTAAGGTTCTCAATCTGCGAACAGAACTGTTTCGTCATTTGTGGACTAATCACCGCAGCACAGATGGCACACTTCGACTTGCCAGCGTTCGTTCTTGCAACTGGCACACTGAGTCCATCCTGCGGCTGAGGGCGGGTTTCTCTGGTGATTTGTGGAGTCAGCAGCTACATGACAGACTGCGATGTCTCACCGTGTAGGCTCTTCCACTGAAGAGCTAAGGCGTTCTGGTGGAAGTGCTCTGACACCTGGAAAACCTCCCATCATACTAGCACTCGCCCAGGCCTATGACTAGAAATGTAACAAAAACAATCCGTTTAAAATTGATGGGCAGGCTGAACCCGCTTATTTGCAGTGACCACAGATTGAAATGGGTAGGCAGTTAGTGGGTAACTCTCATTGTTTTAAGAGTCAATGTCTGTAAGGATCAAACATCACCGGACATGGCCAAATTTCCGAGCTTTGAAGATCTTGAGGTTATCCCATCTTTTAGCCGTTTCCGAGTTGGACTTTTTATGTGCGCTGCCAGCGCATAGCCTCTGGGTGCATGCTAGCTGTAGTCAACATACTCATCACACAAGGAACATGACTACTCCCGCACTGCCGTGCTACCTAATTCCCTAGTCGTGTTGTAGGTCTGCAAAACTCGAGTTCAGAGACTAGACAAGACGAGGACTTGTCGTGCACTACACTAGTGTCAGTCGCATGTACAGTCCTGTAGTCAGGGAAGGTGTGTTCCTCCTTGCCAGTGGTTGTGCTTGGAGATATTTTAGATTTCCGGATGGAATAGTCCAGCCTCATTTATGCTACAACGATGAGTCCGCAACAGGGATAACTGACCAAAATAGCCAACAGCTCCCAGACTGGAAACCTTCAGATTGCATAGTGTCATGAGCCTTGAATCAAAGAGCCGTGGCAGTGGTTCAAAGAGCCGTGGCAGTGGTTCAAAGAGCCTGCACTGACCGCCAATCGAGCAGCGTCCGAAATATGCCAAGTTCATACCAAAAAATCACTACGTGGCAGGTCACAGGAGTCCAAGCGAGTTGGTATCGAACAACACTTAGGTCACTCGCATCAATCTGCATCAATCTGCACCATTTTTACGACTCTCCTCTCCCGAGATGTGATAATTATTATATCAGGCTCGACTTCAATAGCTATATCTTCTTCATCAATCGCAACGAGTGTGGGAGAACTGGAGCTATCTAGTCTCTCTATCACCCCTCTTCGCCCAACACAACACACCAGCGCAAACGGCAGCCTCTTGGTGGAAATGTATGAATCACGAAAAATGCAAGTAGGAAAAGGAGAGAGAACAAGAAAAGAACCACAAGAACAAAAAATCACCAGCACTTTGGCCAGGAAAAGACACGTCTAACATGGCGTCCAACATGGCGGCAGAGCAACCGATAGAGGCCCGTCATGGCTGAAGCTGCTATTGCAGCGACAGCCATCACGGCCACCATTGAATGCAGAAAATAGATCAGAAAACGAAGTCGAGCAACAGGAACTCGAACGAAGCAAAGAAAACAACAAGACCAGCTACGCGACTATGCGCAGCAAGCAAAGGCATAGCGATGACATCATTAGTCACGCGTGAACACAGAATCTAGCATGCGCATGCAGCCTAGCCTTGTAGGCGCTGGCGAAATAAATAATGAAGTCAAGACACAAATAAATAACACAACGAACGATCGTTGCAGGAAAACAATTACAATTCAAATATACTACTTCAAGGAAACATGAGAAGTGAAACGACTAGCACTAGAAGAAATAGAATAGAATATAGAACAAGGACAATGGAAGCGGACTACGGATGAAGCTACAATGAGGTAAGAGGCATGACACACTGATGACAGATGTCACCACAACAAATACATAATCGTAATGTTTGCCTACACACACATTGTATCGTCACACTACACACATTGTCATATTGTCACACGAGACAGAGCTGGCTCTTGACCTGCCTGTGCGGTTATTAATTCAGCAGGATACCGAAGTTCTCAGCCCGAGACTGAACTCATGAAGGTCAGCCATGGCTGCTCTGAAACTGCAGATGTCTGTGGTAAATGCATGTACCATGGATGAACGAGTGCTCTGATTTATTCCGATTCCGATTTTTTGAAATAACTGAGTGAGTCCTCGAATATTCGGTGTAATTGTTTCACCCCTACGTTTTGGCCATTCCTTAGTTATTTGTGCTCTCTTTTGTCCATACCAGAATCTCTAACAGTTGACGGAAAGCGGTGGTATTACAGCAATCACGTGACAACTGTTGATTGGGCTAGTATGGCGTGTGAGGACAGGGGCACAAGACTGATGACGTTGGACGAATTTCTACCCATGCAGAGAGTCATCCTCGACAACATGCCAACCACTAATCGTTCCATCTGGTTGCTGAATCCAGTGTCAACTGCTCCCCTGGCTTACAACATAGATACAAATGAACAGAAGAACTATTCGTCCACTGCTCTCATCATGTGCAAGTTTTTAAGTGAGTACACATTAAGAGCATTCCATATTGCATTAACCCGGGTACATTTTGCTGTTCTTTTTTCCGCCACGAGACAAAACTATTATTATCACAATCCGTTCGGTTTGCGAATTCAAAAAACACAACCAAGCAACCAATGAGGAGGACGAACTGAAGTCACACTGGCTTACTTTATGAAATTCAAGGAATGGAGACGTTGCAAAAACTATGTAAAAAGGAAAGGGAGAAATACATGTAAGAATAAAAAGAGATGAAAAAAAGATGATTCGAAATAGTTTTCGAACAAAACTCATCAGGAATCAACGTTGTACTGAAGAACCAATCAGAAAAATTGCAATCATAAAGGCAGCAAGGCCAGATAAGGAGGACGCAAAGACAGCGCTTAAATAGCAAGGTGTGATTTCTCACGAAAGTGTCCGCAAAAACAGGGGTATGACAACTAAGCGTTGCATGTGTGTATCAGCAACAATGTGAGAATAAAGAGAAAAAGGGTGATAGAAACACATGGCAGGCAGAAATGGCAACAACCTCGCCACAATAAACCAAAAACATCACTTGAACAATTTTTGAGAAATAAAGCTGTTGAGTAACGATAAGGGATCCTTATTCCAAACACAACGAACCCAGGAACGGTTAGGTGGAAAGACATGTTTTATAGACGGAGGGAAAGACAAACTACAACGACTACATTATGGAAGCGAGAGAGATCGAGTGAGAGAGAATGCAAGAGAAAGGGCCTGGGTGACTATGGCAAATATGGGTGTGCAAGTAGCTACGCAGGCCAACGGAACGAAAGGTGAGTACGGAATTCACGCAGGCCGGCTTGGGAAAGGTTGTAGATTGTACGGGAGGAGGTACCGAACACACTACCTAACATCAGCGTAAAAAAACATGTGAATCAATAAAATGCACTGATTTGGGCTCTGAATTTCCACTTCCGAAGCCTCTGGTTAAGAAGTTTGAAGTCTAGAGAGGCAAAGAGAGTCGGTGTGAGGTGATTGGTGGCAACATTCCACAGTGGAATGTTGCTTTGCGTTCTTGAATCGTGGTTTGACCGTATTGTCCAATGGTCTTGCAGGGTTCTAGCCAAAGGGGGGTAAGGGGGCGCAGCGCCCCCCTACTCCGTTTGCGCGCTCCCCCTGTGAAAAAGTGCCGCCCCCTACTCATTTTCCGATTTTTGTGTTTTTTCACGCCATTCAACAAAAATACAGTCGACAGTCACTACTACTAGTACTAGAGGGAATCATAAAGGCACATTTGTGAGGGGTGAAGTCGGGTTCACCCTGTATGTTACATTTTGCATGGCCAGACAATTTTGGACAATGGAAAAAATGGGTCATGGGGTAACTTTTTCCCATGCCCGCCCCCCTACTATATTGACCTGGCTAGAACCCTAGTCTTGCCAGTATCGTCATCGGCATGCATGAACATCCGCCAACGTCCTTCACAGCGGAGACTTTCAGCTCGTGCTTATCTTGGTTTCGCTCACCTTCCCCTCCTTATGTTATTTCTATAACTTTGAACCTTCCAAGTTGGAAGGCTGTTGGAGTGCTCATCCAAGATGTGCTAGAGCTGTTAGCCAGTTAGTTTTAGAACGTCAGTACCATCGATCAGTGTCGTGCAATGTTATCGCATGAGCTGATTGTTTAGTAACTGGTGGTGTTAGTGGACAGTATAGTGTAACTTGTAGTTCCTTGACCTATCTGTTTTAAATAACTATTTTATTTGAATTTGTTTTACCTGCAGAAAAGGTGGGTGGGTGGGGGATGAAAAATACTAAAAAAATTCGTTATGCAAAATCTATTGGTAACCCCGGACTGCCCCTGACACGAAGAGAAAAAAGTTTCGTTTATGGGGTATTCACACGACAGACCCTTTCACGTTTAACAGAATACGAGAAAAGTGACTGTGTGGATTCACACAGCTGCACTCGACGACAGGCACGTTTGCATTTTTGAATGCTTCACCGACCAGTAGCCATGGGTATTTCAAATTTTCAAAACACATATACAATAATTATCATGCTCTAAAGAGCCGCGTAAAAAATCAAGTCTTGTTTCGCGCTTTTTGGTGTAAATGTACTCGTGCACGCCACGATTATCGTGAAAGTGGGCCCCCAGCTCGCTTTTACTTTTTTCATCCACTTTCAGGCACTTTTCTCGTTCACAGGTAAAATACCATAGCAACCTTCCAGTGCACGTGGATTTGCCTGTCGCGTGAATACCCCATTATGGGTGGGTGGGTCAAGGGGAGTTTCGTTTCGAAAAATATTGATGTGACCGACATCAATCAGGGGGGGATGGGGTGGGGTGGAGGGTCCTTACAAGACACTACAGTACAGTAAAATCTGGTGTAAGCGACCATCCCAGGGTGCAAGCAAAAACGGTCGTTAAAGCCAGGTGGTCTTTTGAACCAGGTCCCACAGTTCCTTTGTAGAACTGTCCGTGCAAGGGAAACGGTCATTAGGAGCAGGTGGTCGCTTAACCCAGAGGTCCGGCGCTGACACCCGATTTTACTGTATCTGATCTTTACTGGTTGCCATATTACCATTCAGTAAAACCTGGGTTAAACGACCACCTGCTCTTAACCGACGTTTTTCCATGCACGGACAGTTCTATACAGACGCCGTGGGACCTGGTTCTAAAGACCACTTTTTCTTGCACCGTGGGGTGGTCGCTTTAACCAGGTTTAACAGTATTTTTCTGTTACCCGACTCCGTTCCACACATAACTGACCACTTTCCCTTGTTTGTCTTATTGACAGAGTTCTTGACAAAGTTGATCCCTGAACCACCTCCCACTACACTCCCTACCACAGTTGCTACGACAACACCACCGACCACCACAGTTGCTATGACAACACCACCGACCACCACAGTTGCTACGACAACGCCACCGACCACCACCATTGCTACGACAACGCCACCGACCACCACCGTTGCTACGACAACGCCACCGACCACCACAGGTGCTACCACAGCAGCCCCGACCACCACCGTTGCTACGACAGCAGCCCCGACCACCACCGTTGCTACGACTACAGCCCCGGTCACCACAGTTGCTACAACAGCCCCGGCCACCAAAGTTGCTACGACAACAGCCCCGGCCACCACAGTTGCTATGACAACAGCCCCGGCCACCACAGTTGCTATGACATCTCCGGTCACCAGTGAGTGGGTCTGTGTGCATACTTGTGTGTGTGTGTGTGGGGGGGGGGGGGGTGCCAGTGTTTAGTATACTTATTTTCTTTTTTTTACTATTACCGTAAAGTCCGCTGCAAACGCCCACCCCATTTTTGCAAGATCTGCTGGCCTATACGCAGTGACCCCATGCACTGTCACCCCTACTGTAAGAAAGTGCATCTCACACCGTAGTGCGAGGAGCGCTTTGCTACGGTAAACTACCGGTATGTTTTTGGGCACTAGTTACGAGCTAGCTCCTAGTGATTTTATGATGTTGGTTGTTTTATTTCGCAAATCCAAACGGGAGTTACTTCAGAATAACAAGGTAGCGAAGAACAGGCTATTGCAGGAACCAAGTACACTTCTGACAGTGTTTCAAGCCATCATTTCCAAATCACGCAAAGCGCAATGGCAAGGGCTTTTCTCGAGCACTTCGGAGTGTTCAACAAGTTAGCAGCGACTTTGTAGGTGTAGCTTCTGTGACACCCCCCTGTTCGACTTGCAACTGCAATACTGCGACCTGTAAAGTCTTTGAATGACACTTCATCAGAACAATCACCGTTCCATTCTGAAAGCACGACATCATAGCAAGAACTGCAGAAATTTCATGATTTGAAAACCAGATGGTTTCTCATTCATCGTATGAAAGGAAATCTCGACCGAAGTTTTTTTCTTTACAGCAAGATAATGACAATGGCTTTTGCAGAGCCTCTTGGTATTACATAGGCAATTTGTAGGCATTATAGTCACTATCGTACGCATTCGACCTTCAAGCCAGCTTTCTACAACTATACTGACCTGAAAAAGACGAGAATAGTATGGACCCGCTGGGGTGGGCGTTTGCAGCGAAGTGGGCATTTGCAGCGGACTTTACGGTACTATTATCCACAAACCCAACTCGTAAAATAAATAATTATGCGGACAAAAAAAAACAGCTACTGTTTAGGGGCTGCACTGGGCAGCAGTGATGGTGAGTGTGAGCAAACATGTATGTGTGAGGGGTGGGAGGAGAGGAGGGCCCGGGTGAGGGAATGGATTCAGCATTGCATGATTGTTTGTTATGTGTTTAGTTTTCACTTCGCAAATTCAATAAACAGGAACTGGGCACAATAGCATGAAGGTGACTATGAAACGAAAGAAGCAGAGGAGGAAAGGAATCAGAATGACTGGAAGACAGGAGAAAATCACAAAGCAAAACGCGCAGGATGCTGAAGTATACTAGTGGAAACTTTCAAGATGTTCAAGAGTCTGAAGTGTGTCCACATTCTCAGTATCATTGCATTCTTGTCTCCGATGAATCTATTCCAGAAGTACACAGGAACTGACAGAAACTGGTCGCACATGCATGCGGGCACGCATATGCACATCATGAACACAGGGTATTGCTTGAAAACTGGCTCCGCAGCTAATACCTCACAGCTCACGGGTGGAGGTGATTCAATACTGAGAAACAGAGGAAATGCAAAGGGAGTCCGCCACCAATAACTTGGCTAAATGAGGGTTATAAATGACGTTGGGGCGCTATACGCGCAATTGGTTGCACTAGGGAACACTCTAACATAGAATGCAAGGAGGGTTATTATTATTATTATTATTATTATTTTGAGAACCGCAATCAATAAAATGAGCTGAACCGACATTTGTGTACTTTATTCATGCAATGTAAATAACGGTGGAGACGATGTGCAAAAAAACGATATAAATATGAAGAAATAGTGGAGAGAAAAAATATGGATTCAAGTTTTCGTACAACACTCATCAGGACTCGTAGTTGTACTAAGGGGTCGTCCATAACTATCGAACTTTTTTCACGAAACGAAATAATTTCGTTATGGGGTGGGAGGGGGTTGACCAATTTTGTTTCAGAAACGTACGATACATGTACATGGCCATAGGAGCAGTGACACACTTGCGACTTTTGTTGTATATGCATGTATATGTCAACAATTTTTACGTTCTGAGGGGGAGGGAGGGAGGGAGGGGTTGGCTCTAAACAAAAATAATTCGTTTGGTGAAAAAAGTTCGATATTTACGGACGGCCCCTAAAGGACACTGAAACAAAATTGAACTATTATAGAAAATCTAAGTTAGGCCAAACTAAAGAAGGTGTGTGGTTCGACTAACATGGACATTTTTTTTACGGGCGGGCGGGCGGATTTTTTTTTAAAATATATTTTTTAGTACATGTAAATACACTGTACTGCCTTTAGACACCCAGTACATCGGCATTATTACGCAGTGTTATGCCATACATGTTGTATAAAGGGATCACTGGCTAATGCTTCGAAACATTGTGTAGCTCTGGAACGAGAAGAGAATAACTTCAAGCGGTGACTCTGACTGTCCAAATCATCAAGCAAATGAAGAACGATGCGAGTTGAAAGTAAGTTCGGGAACTACTTCGAAGCACAAATTGTACAATGTACCGGTACATGTATTGCTAGTTTGGTGTCGGCGTGCACGAATACATGGGCTTTTTCCATCGACGCTTCCTGTGCTTGCACACACGGAGCAGCAATCTCGTCTGTCCTTCATCCCAAAACAGAAGGCCGTCCTTAATCTGGAACGAGGCAATCACTCTCAACCGGACGGTCACTTCAAAATAAGTCTCGCCAGTCTGCCGGTGGTCGTATCGAGTAGACTCTACTACCAGCACAAGGCAGCAGTCGTAGATGTCTACCACTCACTGCACTGCATGCATGCAGTACAACTACAAGTCAAGTCCAAAAGGAGCCGCCTGCGTCCGCAGACTCACGGCCAGTCACGCTGCACAGCACGTAGACTAGACGTGTTCAGTCCACGTACATGTACATGTAGGTCAGTCACACGACAGCCCGCCGAAAAAAAGTTACGGTCGGGCTGAAAAATGTACGGTCGGTCGGGTGAGTCGAACCACAGACCTTCTTCAGTGTGGCCTTAGAGAAATAACACTAAGAACAACAGAAGTGAAATTTACAAGTGTGAATTTAAACAATCAAAGCAAGAGCAATAACGAATGCGTGTGCAAACAATATACTTGCAAATGGAAAATGAACAAAGAAGAGAAAGGTAGAAGGAAGGACAAAGTGATAACACATAACAGCAGTACATTTCACCTAGAACATTAACGGCCAAGCTTTGCCGCACCAAACACGACACGTTACTTGAACAATTTCAACCCAATTATACTATCTTTCTGTACACCCAAATTAGGCTTATCCAGACGCTGATAGATAGCTTCCAACACTTCAACTGTAGTCCATAACCATGACGACCACGGCACAATACAGTGAACGAAGAGTCGGAATACGAATTGCAACAATCAGGACTAGCTAGCAGATGATTGTACACTGAAGACTTGCTACCACGAAACCTACGCGCAACACTAACACTCTCACCGGCACTCTCACCATCACTCCCATCATTGCTCTCCGACTCACTGCTCCCTTCGCCGTCCGTTCCATCCTCCGCTTCCTCTGCACTCTCTCTGTCTCGTCCATCCCGCCTGACCAGGTCCATTGAACTTAACTCGGCCGTCACCCTGCTGTCACGTCCTCCTTTCGTCCCTCCTTTCCACGGCAAACATAAATAAACGGGACAACGAGCAGGACCAATCATCGGAGCCTTCGTAGCCTGTTCGACTTTCAACAACTTCTTCAACAAAAACTCAGGGTACCTGTTCTTCGCAAAAACTGACCGAGAAAGTCAAGCTCCTCCTGCAACTTGCAGGACGAACAAATACGCTTCGCACGATCTGCAAGGCTATGCACTAAGTTTACTTTATATTGAGACGAACAATAAGAGTCATATACAATGTACTGACCAGTAAATGTCGTCTTTCGATAAAAGGTGGTCAGAACGTCACTACTCGCTTTTTCCACAAGCACATCTAGAAATGACAATTTGTTGGACTGTTCATGCTCACATGTGAAACGAAGGGCAGGGTGAATACTATTTAACACGTCAAGAAACTCGTTACTACGCTCATCATTATCAAAATATGTGAATGAGTCGTCCACGAAACGTCCATAAAGGTCAGGCCACAATGAATCATCAATTTTCGACTCACAGTAAAAGTTGGAGGCAAATGGTTTACAATTTCCCTTTTTCTTGATTTTGTATTTAGCGCTTTCGGGTGTTATTATTTATTTTTCTTATTTTCGCACTAAATTATTATTTCTTGTCTACCGTTCTCCTTTCGTTTCGCATGGATATTTAAAAGTTTTCATGTACTGAAAAAATTATCGTGCATCGCGAAAAAATTCGATGATTAAAATGAAAAATGATGGATTAGATGATTAAAATGATTATGGACATTGTAGTAGATTAGGTGGAAGGAGAGAAAAATAAAGCTTGGGTCGTAGATTTAATCTGACAAAGAGAACAAAAGGCAAAAGGAGAATGAGACAGAGAGTGAGAAAGAGTGAGAGAGAGTGTGTGTGTGTGTGTGTGTGTGAGGGAGAAATAGATCGATCAGTATGTGAGAGTAGCTGAACCAGTTATTGCTCAGCTGCAATCGTCTCTTGATTTAGTGCATGTATGAGAGCCTGGAATGTCCGCTTTTCATCCTCAGTTCTGACGCTGGCGGGAAGAGCATTCCATCTGATACTTGCCGGGAAAGGGCTGGAACGTCTGCTGAAATCAACTGCAAGATGAAGTCGTTATCTGTCACCCTTGGCTTTACTACGGATGTGGAAAACTCATCTAGTTATCGTACAACTGTCATCAGGAAGAAAACAGGTCAGAAGGAGGCAAATAATTATGTTCTATGGCGATGTTGCAACACTTGCAGCTCAATTTTGCTTCTAATCCCTATCGATGCCATCGGCATATCATTGTTAATTAGCATAAGTCAAACTGGTTGTTCCTTACGTAGATTTGAACTTTGAATGTCGAGGCTTCAACATCATGATCAGTCTTAATCGCACTACCATCACCGAGGCCAATACACTCTGCACCCAACAGAGTGGAATGAAGTTGTTGAGATCACGCTGGCAACTCAAACTAGAAGACTGCTACATGGTAAGATCATTATTTCTCAATGTTACTTGTAGTAAAAGTATTTTGTTCGTTCAGGTCCTTAAAAATGTGACCCACTCGATTGGCAACCATCATAGCTAACAAATCCTGCAAAGGATAAGTTCATTTTATCCGAAATTACAAATTGATGCTACAATTCCCTCACCTCCAGATGATGAACCCCAGGTGTACCAAATCTCCCACGAAGTTTATACCGGGTATTTCCATTTACTCAGATGGAGAGCCAAGGTCTAATTTATACAAAAGAGGAATACCAAGGAACTACAAGTTACGCTATACTGTCCACTAGGTGCGCATCCAAGATGTGCTGGAGCTGTTAGCCAGTTAGTTGTAGAACGTCAGTACAGTCGGTCAGTGTCGTGCAATGTTATCGCATGAGCTGATTGTTTAGTAACTGGTGGTGTTAGTGGACAGTATAGCGTAACTTGTAGTTCCTCGGTCTTTCTCTTTTGCATAAATTTCCATATACACTGCTCATTTAAATTTGACCACTTATATTAATTGTGTACCCCTTACAACGTCTTGGAGCAGAAATACACAAGAGAAGATTCGAACCCACAACCATGTGAATCTCAGTCACTCTTCCTTACCACCCAGCCACTGTGCTACAGATGCTGAACCCAGTAAAAACAATGACCTTGATGCTGCAATGCCATACGATGCAGAGTAGGCTATAGTGTAACACTATAATAACAAGGATATGTTGCATATGAAGAGAAACTATTGCGTGGAGAATACGATAAATAGATTATGGACCTCATAGTTGTTAAACAGGATAATATTATAGACCGTTAAAAAATCGAGGTCACCCGAATGTACAAGTAGAGCCGAAGGATTTATTACAACTAAATACCAGTATAAAACCTGAGGTCCCTCCAGGTTTTTATAACTGGTATGTAATTGAAATAAATCCCTATGGTTACTACTGGTTACTACAATACGAAAGAAAAGGTGTCAGCACTGACTCAATCCACACAGTCAAGTAAGCCTAATTTAGTATCCGAACGTTTTCGCTCCCTTCTCATCATGGGTAAATACAGGCATAATTCGCCAGTTGTCCCCTAAACTATGTGTTCAGAAGAAAAATGTTTTTGTCACTTCAGTTGTTTATCGCTAATCCTCGTGAAAGTGTCAGGAATGCTTCTGCTTCTTGATGTTTTCATTTTTTTCAATATGTTTTAGTCATTTCTTCACCTTCACCCTGTTGTTGACCTGTTCTGCTGAATTTTATTTTGTCCACACGTATAGCGTGAGGTTCTCAATCTATGCTTTTGCTGTAGGTCTATAAGTTGCTGTATTTGACATGTTTCCATTATTCCCTGTACTTACCCATGATGAGAAGGGAATGAATCAGCGAAGCGGACATTGGACGTAGTAATTATCAAAAGTAAAATATGGATAATAAGATTTCCTAACAAGTTTTCTAGAGACATTCATCAGCGAAATACATCTCAATAATAAAATCTAGCAACGAGAGAGCTTGGAAGCTCAGGGCCCTACGCTATGCTTTTTTGCCTAGCTAGCTCATCATACATGTTATTACGACAGGTGGAAATCGTTTTTTTCATTGATTGGCTACATCAAACTTTCTCTTTGTATTCGAGGGTAATACGACACCATCTACCACCTTGATGACCTTGGCAAAAAAGCATAGGGATGTTATAAATGTTTCATATCTGCTATTTTTCTGAAGATATAACCTGGAATTCGAACCCACACTATCGCCCTGCATGCGATGTTGACCAACTGGGTGTTCATCTTCTTTACCATCATATTGTTGCAGCCTATACTTAACCGTGAGAACGTGGAAGAAATTTGGATGAGACAGATACGTAAAAGACCGAAGGCGACTGCTTGGATGATGTATAACGTTTCAAGTTCACAGCTGAACCCTACACCGGACGCATCAGCAACTGCTGCCTTTATTTGTGCAGGCAAGTATTTCATTCTGCATGACGAGGGACTATCCTCACTACTTTGCTAAAGTGCACGTGATATTTACGCAAAAAGAAGACGACCTATAAGGCTGCATTCACACACGGTACAAAAATTCGCGTTTACATGACCGTACAAGCCACTTGCAACGCCTGTGCATTCACACAGTCGAAATCAGGGAGCCGTCAAATACGACTCCCTGATCGAAATGCAGTGCATGCCAAACACATAAAAAGTGACCCGCGTGACCCATACACCCATAGCGAAGAGCAGGAACTTTCTGCATGAGCATGAGCGCACCAGTACCGGTACGGCTAAACATTTCAAAAATACTATTTCTTGGTCCACTAGTATGATCTCGGTGGAACGCCTCCACAACTGGTGTATTCCTCTGAGTGTGCTGGAGTTGTGAACGATAGCGGAATTTTGATTTCTGCATGAGCTGAGCGCACCGGTACGGCTAAACATTTCAAAAATACTATTTCTTGGTCCGCTAGTATGATCTCGGTGGAACGTCTCCACAACTGGTGTATTCCTCTGAGTGTGCTGGAGTTGTGAACGATAGCGGCCGTGGGTAGGCTGTGTATATCATTTCCTGATCACTCCGGATAGCTGCTTTGCGCACAGATTCAGCCCATCTGCAATCCTCTTCTCGGCAGCAGCTCTTTTCATCATAGTTTCACTTTACTCGCTTGTATTTTCCCCATACTCGGTTCTATCAGCCGTAGCTCCACCTCGGCAGAAAAGACAACTCGAGGCATGGTACTACCGGACTCTCCAAAAACAAAAAAGCCGAAATCCGCTTTCAAAGCGGCCTTCAAAGCCGCTCCGGGATGGCTTTGAACGTTCACTTTTCGCGCATGTTTCCATGCCCACTTCAAAGAACATGATGCTTGTATGCGGTTTTGTACCGTGTGTGAATGCAGCCTAAGTTAAGAGTTATGACTAACAGTCCACCAAGGTAACGAGGTAATAATTATACAGTCAAATAGTGCGACAACAAGGCACGAAAAAATATAGGGATATTGAGACATTGGACGACCTGACACAAAATCATCTACTAATCTCAAACCATCAACTGGCCAACTAAAGTGTTGTTACTTGGAAGTCCCAGGAGCAGAAAGTTCCAATGACTTGGACTTTCCAAGTTTGACGGTTGTGACGGTTGTTGGATTGCACTTCGTAGATGTACATTGGAGCTAGGTGTGAGGTATTCAGGGATCAACATGACATCAGATCACATGACATCAGATCACATGACATCAGATCACATGGCATCAGATCACATGGCATCAGATCACATGACATCAGATCACATGACATCAGATCACATGACATCAGATCACATGACATCAGATCACATGACATCAGATCACATGACATCAGATCACATGACATCAGATCACATGACATCAGATCACATGACATCAGATCACATGACATCAAATCGAATGACATCAGGTCACAGTACACGTACATCATTTTATTCATTTTTTATTTTATTCTTATTCTTATTTTACTAGGGAATGCCATACAGGCATCATCGCCTACTTACAGGGAACCCTTAGAAAGTCTTGATGGATGATCGAAATTAAGCCGGTGAATTAGAAAGGCAGTAAGCAGGTGGCAGTGCATTCCACCAATCAGCGCCTACGTACGAAAGTGCACAGAAGCCATAGCTTGTGCTAGCAGGGGGTAAAACGAGCGCGGCAGACACCTGACCACGGGTAAGGGCATCCGTGTAAGCACCGTGAGCACGAAGAGTAAAGCGGTCTTGTAGGAGAGAGCAAGCAAGGCCATTCAGGCAGCGAGACATAAACACATCGGTCTTGAAATTGAGGCGTTGTTCAAGTGTGTTTACTTTGGTGTTACTGTAGAGAAGGGCAGTTGGGGTCACTGTATCCAAGGAAAAAAAATTCTCTTTAGAGCTAAACGGCTGGCAGCAAGAAGTTTGTTATAAAGAGTTTGCGACAAACAGTGTACATATGCGGTGCTGCCATACTCAAGAGTAGACGGAATTATAGAGAGTTAAAACAGTCGCTTGCCAAAGATACTGATATTCTGTTTTGCATGCACAAAGGCTCCTACTTTCTTGTTCACAGATGTACACAACGCTGCTACTTGGTCTGAAAGGATAGATGCTCATGTCAGTTATAGTAGTCCGCAATGCTGCTTTTCTAATTCTCATTATGATTAGCATGCAATGTACTACCCGAAGTACTGAATTTACTTCTTCTGTACTCTATATTCTAATGTATCTTCTACCTCTTTTCCCTTACGAACATACTTTCTCATTTTCCATACTTACTTAGGAGACTCCCTTCGATAGGCATCTATTTGCCTCTGGAGGATCCGTGAAATAAAAATCAATCAATCATCAACTAATATTCCTAAATAGCGGGCGGAAGCAAAGGGGGTAATGGGGGTGAGTAGGAAGTAACGAGCGGGTTCTGGGCCAGGGGGCGCCCTGGTCCCAAAAAATGGGGTATTATTGAAAAATGGGGTACTAATAGTACCCCATTTTTGCGGTGAAAATTATTTTTGGCCCGGTTTTTTTGCGGATAAAAATATGTGCCAGGGGGTGCCCCTACCTCAAAAAAAGGGGGTATTATTGAAAATATGTATTGGGGTGTTATGCTCTACCCTAAACAATAAGGTAATATGGTGTCATGATTATGTAAGTATAAAAGGTGTGTTCTTGAATGATGATCCAGTCAGTTTCAAGTTGTTGTGGTGCAGTGAAAATGGATTCTGAATTTGAGATCCTGTATGCTTATGTTCGTTCAAAGAAGCAATGTGCGCTGGAGGAAAAGAAGAAGAAGAAGAAGAAGGAGATAGAGGAAAGTGAAGAAGTGTGTTATCATCGTGAAGAACAAGTTGAGCATGCTGGTCATAGAGTTTGTTCTCAGTGTGGATTGGTAATGGCGGACATTTACATGCCCGAGGTAAAGTGGAGAGAGCGTTGTACTAGCATAAAGACCTACACGGATTCCGATCGCATTCAAGGTGTGAATCGTCATCTTGTACATTTTCTCAACAAGATCGACTTCACTTTACCGCATGCACAGTTTCACCCTGTTCAAGAGGCACTGCAAGCAATGAAGAAGTCCAGCAGCTATAAAAGCATGAACTATGCAATAGCATTATCGTGTATACTTCATGAGGATCATGATGCAGTGCGCACACTGCGTTCTTCTTTACCGCGCAGTAATGTATCATGGTTGAGAAGCAGCCGCATTACACAACCTCTTCCATCATGTTTTCCACTGATGTTTCTTCTACATCTCATGGAACACATCAAGGGTCCTCTGTCCGCTAGACAGCTGAACACTCTGAAAGTTAATTTGTCCTTGATGTCACCTGCAGACCTGTCCATGATGCATCTTCTAATAGATGCCTATTGTTGGCATGACTACAGTCTGGATTATTTAGTAGATCACGTGACCTCTCTACCACCTGATCTTGCCAACATACTCTATCAATTTACCAAGACTGCAGTACGTCATCAACGTTAGCAATGCGTTGGAGATTTACACTCTCGGGAACCTGTTCTGAGACATGGTCGAGACACGTTCAGTCATGACCGAGACATGTTCCGACAGTTCAAGTGCAAGTCGTGCTGTGATTGGTTAAATCTTATCATCTGCTCACCGTGTCCTCTGATTGGTTGATTCTTGAACAATTTCACCGTGTTCTCCAAGGTCGTCACCTCCCATAGGATGTTATTTCAAACTCGGCGGCGGTCAAAAGGGTATATATGTGCAAGCACAGTCCTCCATTCACTCACAACTGCCTTTGTTGTTTCGTTGCTCAAGCCTTCTCTCTCTCTCTCTCTCCCTCTGGATCTCTCTGGATCTCTCGTGACTGATATCATGATGGCCACTGATGCTGTTGTTGCTGGTGAAGATGTTGTGGACTGTTTGGGTATTGACCCGTTCGCTATCAAGACGATAAAGAAACCCGGTCTCTACAAGCGACGTGCTAGCCGTAATCCGAATCTGGAGCCTCTGCCTAAGATCAAGATGCCATCTCCTCGTCCTACCATACTGCCAGGTGTCGCCACCATTATTACGGATGGGGCAGCAGAGTGTGTTCAAGCAATGTACAGCAAGACCGCCCACGACTATCATGTTGCTCCTGGCACCGATTTCTACTATACGCGCGGTGATTTACCGGGCATGCTTGTCAATGGCACGGTATGTGAAGGACGCTTTGGTCAACTTAAGCTGTACGTCCAGGCTTCACAAGACGATCTCATTCAATTCTTCCTGAAGACCTCACCACCTTTGAGACGTGCCGTGAGATCTCCGCATATCAACAGGATACGGAGTAACATCTTCCCTGCAATGTACCAAGGGAAGAGTGTGACTGCTTTGTATCTCAAGCCAACCAAGGGTATACCCAACTTCCCGATGAACGAAGAGTGTCAGCTCTATCTGCATCCTTCCACTATATCTCTCAACAGGGAGAAGTGCGAATTCAAGGCATGGCTTTCGGCAATCCCCCTGATGTTTGTAGACTCACGGCTTTGTAAAAGGGATCACGACACCGTGCAAGACCTTCCCGAGACTGAATTGACTCGACTGGTGATTGCATTCCTCAAGAAGTGGAGCACTGCTGACAACGTGACTGCTGACATTGCGTTTGACACAACGGTGGCGGCGGCAGCGTCTCTCCCTGACACCCTACCGGGCAATTCACTGGACTTGAATCTGCTAAATGCTTAGTCTATCTTACCACATTGATTGATCAGAAAGACTTTATATCCTAACCCTTTTTTTTTTTCATGCTCTCTTGCTCTCTCTCTCTCTCTTGCTAACATATCATCGCTTCATTAGATTACCACTAGCACACATGAGTATCATAATGATTTATTTGAGAAAGAAAATATTTCCTATCATAATTAGAACAATGTGTGTGTGTGTGTGTGTGTGTGTGAAGATGGCGTACTGGGCTACGCATTTCCATAGGAGTGATGGGGAGGAGACTTCCCTCAAGCACATGCAAAGCATGCAGAATGATATTACCGAAATACAATCAGTTGTGGGG